TTAATAACAATTGCAATTTTTTACCTGCACCAAAATCCTTCAAAAACATTTTTCTAGAGGTGATTCCGAATCGAATGAGCTATCGCTCATATTTTTAGGACCTTTATCTCTATTTTTCATGTTTTTGAACTTGTTGATTAGACTATATTATTCATAATAGGTAGGTATGTATCAGAAAAACTTTTTTTATATCTATTGACAAACTTATTATTTCGAAATATCAACTCACCAATGCTTTACTAGCATCAATCGAAACTATTTTTGAACCGGCAAGAGCTTCTGCTGTTACAAAGGCTGCAAAGAGTTGATTGGGATGATCGGGCATATCATCAATATATTGAGCTTGACCTGGAAAAAAATCATCTAATAATGAAATTGATAAAAAACGTGCACGTACAATTCCCTTCAAGTTTGCCCGTTGTTTTTATTTGAAATATTTTCTCCTCTTCAACTCTTCAAATATTAAAAGAGTTTGAGTGATTCACTTGTCGATTTGAAACTTTGGCATATTTCTTATAGATGTTAATTTGCAGTAGCAAGAAGTAATATACGTTCTGGAACTTGTGACTTAGTTTTCCGAGCGACAATGGAATCACTGTACACGGCGCGGCGTCATTCAGTTGTTTTTGGGGTTAAAAACTTGAAATTCGAAAGAACGTATAGTTTTTTTGAGCCGATATTTTTGAAAAAAAGAAACAATTGGAAACCTTTTTGGGTGACAGTTTCAAAATCATTACCCCAATTTTTAGTAAACTCTCAGTAGATTTCATTATGAAATTTCACATAGTTCATTTACAATACTACAAAATACTACTACAATACTACAAAAAAAAAGTATTTCGTATATGACAGAAAGTAAAACAAGTCTTCCTATCTCCGAATTCGCTATGACGGTACTTTAGCGTTATCTATAAAAATATTGTCAAACGACTTGATATTATAAAAAACAAACTATGATGTTTGCTGATGTTTTTCCTTAAAAAACTATGGAAACCTAAGATTTAAATTCATTACTAATTCATATTTTAACGTTTTTCCCCGTGGGTTTACCAATAATTTACTACACTGTATAATAATCAAACTTGACTTTATTGAAATTATTACAACACTTTAACTTAGCACTTCCACTTGTCTGTCTTGATAGGCGAGTGGGTCAAAGGCCGTAGAAAATTCCTCGGAATTCCATAGAAGCCGGTGGCATTATTCTCGCCACATCTAGAACGGCAGCGAAAATTGAACATTCGCAAAAAGTCGGTCGCTATTAGTCACGTAACAATTGGGTTATCGCTACCACTGATGGTCGGCTTTATTTTCTTCAGGGCATGATTTACAACACTACCCCCTTCCGTGAGATTGTTCTGCCCCAATAACATTTCAAGATGGAACATCACGACCCATGTAAGGACTCAGTCAGTCTCTCTATGTGGACAACTCCAGAATTTCTTCTGAGTGACAATGTTTTTGGTTACCAAGTAACGTCTTTGTCACGGTCTCTGCAATTTGATAAATAAACCTTTTCGGCGTTGGGGTTAGTAGAGCCACACTACATCGCCTTTCTTGAAGCTCACCGGCAACGACTTTTTGTTAAGTCTTATCTTCATTCTGTCGCTGAAAAGCTGTAATTTGGTTCTGACAATTTCTAGTCTCTCCTTCAGGTCATTCACATACTTTGAAAGAGGTAGGTACCTCTTGATATTCATCGAAAAGACTGCCACATCTATCGGAAGCTTCAGTTCCCTACCAGTTAACAACATGGATGTCGCTTCATGTCGGGAGCTCCTGTATGCCAACAGAAAAAGCGGAACCAATTCATCCCAGTATCTTTGGTTTTCGAACACAAATATCAAGACGTAGTTATTTATGGTGCGAATATGCCTCCCAACCATTCCGTCGGACTGCGGGTGAAGATCAGTTGTTCTTGTCTTTCTTATTCCCAACAAAATCATCATTTCCTTCTATAAATCCGATTCGAAGTTGCAGCACTGATCCGATTGTAGTTCCTAGGGTACTCCGTGTCTGGCAATAACGTTCTGCAATAGCGCTCCTGCCACCGTTTTAGCCTTTTGGTTGGGTAAAGCTAAAACTCCAGGCCATTTGGAGAAATAGTCCATCACAACCATAAGGTACTTCTCACAGGATGTAGTTATAGAAAGTGGTCCCAGAATGTCAACTACGATTCTCTCGAAAGAACACCTACTGAGGTATTGCTTCGATCTCCCTCTTTGCCTTGTCTTTGGACCTTTTCTCTAAGAGCACAGGTCACAGTGCTTACACCATTCTTCCACGTCTCAACGCCAATTGGCCTAATTGTACCTCTCACGCACTCTCGCTAGAGTTCTATTTACACCGAAATGTCCTCGAGTGCGACCATCGAGAAGCTGTTCAAAGATATTAGGGATACACTTCTTTGGAAGGAATATCTAGAATTTGTGGGTTCTTCCATCCGGTGTTTTCCATTTCCGAGTGAGTAGATCATCTCGAATGTACATGGAGTCCCATTAGAGCCAATAACCATTTTCCTGCTGACTGTGCTCGAAGATCTCTTGTCATTCCAGCCTCACTTCTTTGTCAATCCATTCTCCTACAGTTTTCAAAACCGGATCCTCCTTCTGCGTTACCATGATGTCTTGCCTCGTCATGAAGGTAGTGTCACCCTCAGAGACTGTTAACGACCGTTCCACACCATGGTCAGGTGATTCCTCAAATTTTCTGTCCGTCTCCCTGGTCAACGGACCCTTACAGGTTGCTACCCTCCGGGTCAGAGGGAACCCGAAGCAGCGGAAGGTAGGGGAGTTCATCTCCCTATCAGAGCTGTCCATAAAGGAGTATCTGCCCTCTAACTCATCACGTCTGGTGGAAAGTTCTTCTTCTGGTAGCTGGGTATCCTTGTCCTGGCGTTGACAAAATTTGCATCTGAATGTCAGGCATGGTCTTCCTGAGGGGCTATCTGCGTTTTAGTGACTCTTCTCATTCCGAAGTTTCTGAAAAACCTCTTCAAATTTTTTTGACTTCTTCAAGCTGCTTTTCAAGTTTCCTTTCAGTTCCCTCAAGCTTCTCATCAACTAATTTTTCCAACACCTCCTTTGTTTTCTGAATTACTTTTTCAAATTCTTCGTGAATAAATTCATTAATTTACCTTCTCTTTACTCACTTGGGAGGATTTCAAATCTTCGAATAAATGAAGGTACATCTGTTTTCTTTTTCTTGTATCTCCTGAATATTTACCAGCAAGTCTATGTGTTTTTCCTGTTTTTTCTGAATATTTAGTAGTAATTCACGATCTTCATTTCGGTGTTATCGTTCTTCCTCTATCCTTCGTTCATCTTCTTCATTTCAGCGTAATTGCTCTTCTTGTCTCTTTCGTTCATTTTTATTCATTCTGCGTTTATCTTCCTCTCTTCTGCGTTTTCCATTCTCCGCCAGGCTCGCTTGCAAAGTCTCAAACATTTTCTTGATTTCTTCCATCTCGTAATCGACACTCCTTCTTTTCACCATGAAACAGTAAAATTTCAGTCAATTATTCCACTTCCGACACCAAATGTTACGTTTTTTCCCGTGGGTTTACTAATAATTGACCACCCTGTATATTAATCAAACTTAAATTTATTACACTTTCAAAACACTTCAATTTAAACCTCAACTATTATTCAAATGTCTATCGCCTTACTAGATCGCTCCGCATACAGCACTGTCACTTCCACTTGACTGTCTCGATAGGCAAGTGGATCGTGTTTATATTTGGCATTCGAAGGCCGTAGAAAATTCCTCAGAATTCCATGGGAGCCAGTGACATTATTCTCACCACATCTAGAAAGGCAGCGAACATCGAACATTCGCAAAAATCGGTCGGACTGGGCGCGGTCTTAGCTACGTCACAATTGGTTTATGGCTAACAGTGGCGGCCAATGTTATTTTCTTCAGGGCATAATTTACAAATTGCAAATGCCATTTGCAACTCCATTCATATTGAAAATCATAATAATAGGTATATTTTCAATTGCCAAAACTACGCTCCAGATATAGTAGGATTTTTGCTGACTTTCACCTGGTGACATTTTTCTGTTCCCAAATTCGGAAAAATTTTGTGTAGTAATTATTTTTTAACATCCAAAGTCGCTATTGATAGATGTTAAAAACTAATTAGAGATTTCATCTTGCAAAAATATAGAAAGAATCCAAATATAATTTTAAAAAATATGAGAAATAATATAGTCTTCCGAGAAAAAATAATTCACGTAATTCAATGTTTCGGCAACCTTTGTGTAAGAATATACTCGGTTGTTTGTGATTTTGCTCATAATATTTTGAGAGACGGCATTCAGAAAATTGATATTTTTATACCTGAGGTTTGTGCTCGAGCTTCGATTTTGATTACAGGTTCTGTGAGAGGCCATTTATTTTTCTGAGTGCCAAACTGCTGAACTCCAGTCGAAAGAGGTCGTTGAATTAAAGTACCTCCGCTTCTATTTCGATTGGAAATTTGTGGGGCGATATTCAATATGAACTGAAAAACATTATTGAAACTCAGTTATACGATTATCGTTATTATCTTTAAAACATAAAAATAATTTGACAATTCAAATTCTACAAGGGAACTATTCCAAACTCGATGGTCTGGGAAGGTACTCAGAGAACCCGTCATAGAAAGATATAGTCCATTCTTTGAAAATATATGCATTTCCACATTTTTGCCACATTTACATGTAATGAGTATTTGAAGGATTGATCAATGTGTATACGTGACTGTCAAAAACAGTGAAACACCAGACAAGGTGATCTAGTCGTTCTTTGTTATTGTCTTCTAAATTTATGAACGAAATTTCAGGCATACAGTTTCATAAGTATTTTCCAATAAATAGCACTGAACAACAAATACTTCTTGCTCTAAAGTTATCATAGTTTTTCGTGAGAAAATATTTTGAAAAATGGGCATTTCATCCCAAAAGGTGGTTTTTGAAACAAGTCATACACTACAGAGCCTTTTAGGAAGTCCAAAAGACAAAGTAGAGAATTCGGAAAAGTCGAGAATTTACGAATTACGAATTTACTGCGATGCAAAATATTATAGAAAGACAAAAAGATCTATTAAAATGTGATATAAGGAACACTTAGCACATTTAAAATATGGAAGACCTCAAAAATCAGCAGTCGCCCGTCATATTTTGCAACAAAACCATTCCATAGACTTCAGTTTATTAAGATTAGTTAGACAAGTTAAAAACAACAGGCATCTAGATCCCTATGAGAGTGCAGAAATAAGTAAACATAATAATATTATGAATAACGATGGTGGACCAATACCTAATAGTATACTATATAGCTTCTTAAAATGATATTTTATTTTATAAAAATTACAAATATTATAAAATTGATTTAAGACGAGTAATACCTAAAGACACATTGAAAAATGAATTTAAGACAAGTATATAGATAGAGTAAATTGTAAAATTAATTTAAGACAGTGAAGACAAAGGTACCTAGAACAGGTATCTATGGTATAAATAAGGATAGCTTTGTAAGTATGGTTAGTTTGATCCTCCTCTCGAAGATGATCACTTGGTGATCGAAACACGTGCCGAGGCGTCAAAATAACGATTTGGTGTTTGGAAAAAAATTCCAGTAATATTCATTTCTATACCAAAGGTTCCAAACAGTGTTTCCAAAACATGGTTGATGAACGAGTATTGAATCATTATTCTCTGAAAAAAAATCTATATTTTCCTTTTGTAATTTCATAACCACTAATGAAAATCGTATCCCAATTGAATTGGGACATTAGAACAAGCGCTGCCAAAGTAGCCCGAAAAATTAACCAGGCATTTGACAATGATAGTGTTGATAAACGTACTGTTAGACGTTGGTTTGCAAAATTTCGTTCCGGAGATTTTAGCCTCGAATATGAGCCGCGAAGTGATCGACCTTCATTAATCCAGGACGAGAATTTTAGGACCCTGGTGGAGACTGACCAATCGCAAACGGTGCGTAAGATGACCGAAGAACGGAGCGTCCCATGCGGTTTTTGAACGATCGACCGAAATTGTTACGTTTCGGGCCTGTTCTTTTTTGCTGAAAAGTGGATCCTCTACGACAACAGGAGACGTTCAGGATAGTGGTTGGACACCGATGAGCCACCCAGGCACTTCTTAAAGGCGAAAACCCCCCAAGAAAAGACCATGGTGACTGTATGGTGGTCAACGGCGGGTGTGATTCACTATAACTTTCTGCACCCGGGACAAACCATCACAGTAGAGTCCTACGAGTATTGTGAGGATATTAATCGAAGATTGAGTCAGCAGGAGACGGTACCGGTCAACAGAAGAGGTCACCGCTCAAAAGTTTAACGAATTGAGCGTCGAAGTTTTGTCTCGCCCACTATACTCTCCAGATCTCTCGCCAACTGACTACCATCTTTTCAAGCATTTTGACAACTTTATCACCGGTAGAACCTTCTCCAAACAGGACCAGGCAAAAACGGCCTTTGTCGACTTCATCGAATTCCGAGCTCAAAATTTTGATGGTGACAGAATCAAGCGACTTATGAAAACCACCAAGAAAACAGCTGAAGGTATTGATGACATTTCTGGAAAACCGTTGAGACATGTCAGAGAACATATGAAAGAGCCACTAGCACACTCAATCAATGAAACGTTCGTTACAGGTCAATACCCAACAAATTTGAAAACCTCCAAATCAGTACCTATATATAATAANTGAGAATTTTCAAAAACTCCCTGTACAAGTATTTAGAATCCAGGGCATTCTACTCGTTAGAGGAATTTCTGGAGACATGAACTAATATGTTGTAATTAGGTATAATTTTATATATGTCTGTATTTTGTTATTTATACTTCTTCACGTGCTGATTTTTATATGTAGACTAAATTCTAAATTTATATCATATTTTTTGACGAGTCCAATAAGTTACACATTCTGTACTCCTTTTTGTAATAACTTCAGTGACGAATAAAGTTCTATTCTATTCTATTCCATTCAAAGTATCCACTGAGATATCACAGTTTAAAGTGGACTCATGAAAACGGATAACACTCAAAACAATGTCCTATGAATAATTTGAATAGAGAAACAGAAATTTTGAGTGAAGCAGATTCATTCATTAGGTATAACTGTTTTTCATAAATCCACAAATAAAGGTAAGAACTCTTCTTGCGAACTCATTTTGGGAACACACATTTTGGGAACACACTGTTTATATAATTTTATTTTTAAAAAACATACCTTATAGAATAGAGATATTGCCAAATTTTTTCTATAGGTTGGAGAAGGATCTCCCACGACATTATCTGGTTGGATTTCTTGATGAAGTGATTGATATGCCCTGCGCAGTAAATTATTGTCAAACAATTTTTGTCCTATAATAAGGGTTTCAGTATTCTTAGCATGAACAAATTGTGGTTTGATTCCTCCATAGACTATGCGCGCCGATTTCACTGTGTTGTTAGTCAACTCTAAGAGAAATCCAGCATTTACCATAGCATGAGAATTTTGAGCTCTCGGCATAATCTGAAAATAATTCACTTGAAACAGCATATTGAACGGTAGATAGAATATGTACCTTGTAAGTCAAATATTTATAGTTCTTTCTCTTTGGTAAGGCATTGAGAACGATATTTTTGATAACTCTTTTATTCATGTCCATTTTGATGAAGTCTTCTGGTGTGGTTAATATCTCATTATTATCGACATCAACTGAAAAAATGGTTTTTCATTTTAGAACATCATATTTCGAACATTTGAAACAAATACAGACATGTAAAAGTAAAAGTGAGAATTTCGGATTATTTATTTGTGAAATTATAAAACAACGATAAAAATAAAGAATTGAAAAATTCTCTTCAGTTGATTCTTCATTCATCATTTTTATTCATTTTTTTCTATAGTTATTCCTTATTTGGTAAATTTTAATTGTATTTTTCTTTGGTCAGTGATGGTTAAAAAGTTGGTATTGTTTCATTACTGAAAAGTTTGTTCAAATCTCACCTATTACCAGCGTAGCATTGAAAGTTTCCAATAATAAAAACACATCAGATGGAAATTCATTGTGTTTATGCTTGATCATCAAATTTCCTGCCAAGGTTCCGATCTGAAAAATAATAACCAAGCAGTGATTAGACTGACATTATTTTCGAATATATCCCAAATATACATAACAATATAAAAATAATTCTTTTATTTCCAATTTGAGAAACTACAGTATGAAATTGTAATAAAGTTAATTCACAAGTGATTGATCCACCCCCAAAAAAGGAGTTGCAGTCCTCGTAGAACTGGTACTCTTTCAGTGGAAGAGCTTCTTGAAGCAAGAGCCGAATCGATCCCTCTACGAAACCCTTCTTCATGTTCCATTTGAAAAATCAAAAAAGCCGCTACTTTATAGTAGAAGCGACAACGCCGCTTCGTCTAAAATATTTTAGGCGTGTGGGTCATATTGACTTATGCATACTGTGGAATTTTCAGGTTGATCCGTTGAATAGTTTGCCAGAAACGGCTAATTAACGCTCATCATGAAAAGCCCTGTAGGTATAGCCTGTCGCACTACTCGTGACATTACTTCATTTTGAACTTTGTCTCATCCTTGATGTTTTGAACTCCTCACATTTGCGCAAGACCAAATATCTTGGAAAGTTCCACTATTTTTAGAGATAGATACTCAATCATATGGACTACCAGATGTCTTTACCGTTGAAGTTTCTTTGATTTTTCTCATTCCTTTTATTATTTACGTTCAAAAGATTTGTTTAAGTGGGGTTTTTTCGATAGCTTTGAAGGATTTGAGCATCAGCTGCCGAAATGCGGTTACAAAAGTACCCGATTTAGACCAGAGTGGTCTTAAGTTATTCAACATCTGGAGTCATCACCGTTGTATATTGGAATACAAACTGAATACTGGTACTTCAATTACTAACCAGTAAAAGCAGTAAAATAACTTTTTCTATACGTATTGGTAGGTTTGGTGTATCTCTTGTGAAGATCATGAAAAGTAGTTGTGTTTTCTTCAGTTTGGCCTCACTAATACTCGAAAATGATTTTTGATGGAACTGGCCAGTCTTTACGAGCTCTTCAAATAATAACGTATAGTTCTTCCGTTAGTGTTGTTAGTTCACTCACCAAAGCTTTTGCACGACGGGACCACCAGTATAACTTGACAAGAATTCCACTACAACTCTGTAGGTACCAGAAAGAGATTAAGGAAGCCCTAAAGTCCATAGAGCTAGTTATGAATGGAATTGCTAAAAGCAGGGCGGTGATTATAAAAACAACCCCACCCAAACTTCATTCACTCATTGAATTGCAAAAAACTGACTCCTCAATAAGACCTGTGGTGTCGTTTGTAATTTGTAACGGCTCCGTCTATAAAATTTAAAAATTACACAAAACGCGCGTCGAGAATAGTACTGAATTTCTAGTGATTGGAAAAAGTAAACACTAAAAAAACAATGCCCTAATATGTGGTCAAGATACATTTATACAATATAGAGGAATTCATTATTGATCCTCGAATGGTTGAAAAAGTTCCTCTAGCAAAGAATGGGAATATAAGTATAGATGTCTGATTTTTGATACATGATGGTAGTAGGTTATAAAACTGGCTTCCAGCATATATATGCGATTTTCTATACCGACTCAAATTGAACTTTGTAGTGAGAAGGTTACCACAATCTATCGTACGATACGCATCCATTTTTCGTGGATTTATTGACATTGATGTAGGTGTACTCTGTAGACATAAATGCAAGTTAGAGGTAATAAGTCTCTCCTCAAGAAAGTCTTCTTCACAAATGTCATTATGTTTCAAATTAAAAATCAGATTGACGAAACTTTTTGGAATTATGAACAAAATATCAACAGCTTTTCTCCATAGTATAATATTTCAACTTGAAATACTCAAAATCTTAGTACATAGCAATCAGATTATGTCAATGTGTTGAATTCGAAATGGATTTTATTTAGTTTTTTACAAATAGAATCAATTCGAGCAATTAGGAATCTACTATCGTATCTAGAAATGTTGCTGTGATTTTCAAAATCCATGAGACTTCCGTTAATATTAGAATTCAATATGTTTGTATTTCCATAGGAAATTACAAATTGTGTGTAAGCATTGAATTGTTGTTCAGCAAACATTTGTCACTGGAATTTTGGTTGGCTTTATTTTCATTTCATAATTTTCACTATTCGCCAAGACAGTAACCAAAAATACAGTTTCCAGTCTCCAAGTTTATTAACAGGTTCAGCGTTCAGTCGTGGCTCGACAAACACTATGATCCTGAAGATTGGTGCTGGAAAAAGCATGGAAAATGTGAATACCAATCCAAATTTACAAGTCTCCAGCACCCCCCGAACTTCTGAAATTAATTTTCTGCAGATGCAAGGGAAACTGTGGACGTATGTGTGGTTGCCAAGCAAATGCTTTGTACTGTGCCCCAATTGTTCGCGTCTCCAGATTCTACCTCATAGGTGGTGGGTAAAAGGATCGATAATGAATTATTTATATCATAGCAGTGTTACGAAAATGATAAAATATGTGAATAAAAAATATATAATAGAAATTTAGGCATAATGATTCGGTTTCATCGTATTCTTACGAGTATTTGTCGGACGGTAGCCGGTAGGTTCGACGTGGGTGCTTTGTTCACTCACTCGAATCGATCGCCGTGTTGGTCGCTGGTTCAAACTCCAGGCTGAACGATCGATTTTCACTTGCTATCGTCCAATCCGTGTTAGGAATCACACGTTAAAAGGTAAGACCTCGTTAGTCCTTAGCTGTCGTACGTAGGGGTGCGACAGCTGGTTAACGAAAAAACAGATTTTAAACAGATTCAAGAACACGGTCAACTTCAGAGCGCTGTAAAACCCACATAAATCAATGAAATTAAACAAATGTGTGGTGGAAATCTTTCGATGAAAAACCCAACGTAAGATTGCACTGATGTCATTTTATTGTGAAACGACCATAAAAAAGTTAAAACGCCCAAGGAAAATGTATTAAAAAATGTTTAGTTATTTTTGTTTATCATTTTTTTATTTTCTATTTTGCGATGAAGAGTAAAATGAATTAAAAGCAGATAGTTGTTGGTTCACAGATGGATCAACACATTCCGGTTCTGGTGCAGGTGTTTTCAGTCGCAGACCCAGGACACAAATATCAACTTTCCTATGAACCTCCTACCAAGCAACATCAAAATTGGTAGCAAATTGCCAAAAACGACTCTCCACGATAGGAAGACTCAACATAGTGTCTCTGGTCACACTGGCCTGGAAGACAATGAGGCTGCTGACTTCCTTGCAAAGGCGGGTGCTGCAAGCAGCTTCATCAAACCAGAACCTGTCATTGGCATCGCGTTAGGCTTTTCCAAACAAGGATTGAACACCTGGATTGCAAGAAGATTTATGGACTTCCGGCAGAATCTTTCAGGATTGGCTCACTCCAAGGCGTTTATTCGCCCCTACAATAATCCAAACAGTTGTTGGACTGGTCACTGTCAATTGAATAATCATATGCAGAGACTCGGACTGTCGGAAGACAGTGTGTGTTGCCTCTGTTTGGAAAATGATAAAACAGCAGAGCACATACTTTGTGCCTGTCCCGCTGGGGACTGAATCAGGTTTTTAGAGTTCGGCAGGGCCGTACTCTTACCATCTGACCTGAACACCATACAAACCAATCGGCTTCGATAAGAAGCTGGGTTTATTTGGTCGAGTGTAAACAGGTGTGAGCCACAATAAACCCTTTCGAGTTGCGGTGGAGGGTTGAATATACCCACTCACGTTGGACCTAACCTAACCTAATAGGAATAATGTTGTAGACGATTCAATGCGCTACAAGATGGAGGCTGGAGTTGCGACTCCACAAACTCAAACAAGCTTATACTAACCCCCCTATACACCAAAAAATAAAATTGTATCCTTTGAAAATGCACGCTAAGGCCTAAAAACATTTCAATGAACTAAAATAGATTTCCTAATAAACCCAAAATAGGCAAATACGAACTCAACGACGAACGATATCGGGGCAGCTGCTAGTACATTTCAAATACAAGTATTCAAATACAAGTTACTTACATTTCTTACTGGAACACTTGCTATCAAATCGATGTGATCCCTCAATACCGATAAATATGAAAATTGTTTCATCTGACTTGAAATTTGTTTAAAAATTTTCATTGTTTTTGTTAATGAAAGATTCCCTCCAAGTGTTAAAGTGTCATCATCCACGGAATAAGTAATTAGTTCCAATACACTAGTTACGTCAATGTAGATGTTTGGAAGGCCATCATGTTTGTAAACACCTGAAATGTATAATGATCACTCTTTTTTTATGTGAGAAATGATAGTCCGGATTATAAAGAGTTCAAAGGCACATGCTCGTAGATATTGTAGATAAAAAATACAGAACAAGGATCTAACTACTACAACAGATAAAACAACACAAAGATGTACTGCATTCACATACATAGGTCACCAAACCAAAAAATTAACAAACATTTTCAAACCCTTGAACATCAACATCACTTACAGGAACACGGCAATAACAGAAAAAATAAACAGCTATGAAAAAAAGAAGACGAAAACCTGAACGGAGATACAGAATAAAATGCTCGGACTGCAACAGATTATATATCAGCCAAACCAAGAAAAAACTGATCCAAAGGAGCACAAAAAAGCATACATAAATCCAATAACATATAAATCAAACCTCGCAACACACACTATACAAAACAAACATAAGTTTTCCCCACCAGAAAATATCAAACTCATAAAACAAGTCATTAAAGGAAACCGTACATTCAATATACTACACAATACAATACACTTTCCTAGAAACAGTGAACCTAGAGAAACACCAACACAAAGGATATTACCTGAACTAACCCAAGTACAGGCAAATTTAAAGAGTCATCCGAATGAAAGGAGAAGACAAATACTTACGCTAAGGCGTTCTAACCGTATAAAAGAATAAACAGGAAGATTAAACGTTCAGTTTGAGTGGAGCCATGAAGATTATAGCACAGTCTGCTATCGAAAGCACTCGCATATAATAATCAGAAGTTATTAAAGCTTCAAATCCTATTTGTGAACAAATGTCAATATAAACATTCTGTTACTCAACAAAGTTTACCTCTTGCCGTGTTACCAGCAACTAATTTATAATTTGTGGTTTGCGATATTCTTAGAATTTGAAGTAGGTTTTTCAGATTATGAACCTTCAGCCATCTCGACTCTTTGAGCTCAATGTAGAAATTTTCCAATTTTTCTTTCGTACAAACTGTATTGCATGTTTGAGAGCATCCTTTCCGTTGGCATGGTTGTACGTCCTCAATATCGTCAACTGCATCTGAAAATGAAATATTAAAGTTATACTTTCTTTCCTTCATGAATTAAATCACGAATAGAGGAATTTTTCAATTCAGTTTAGGAATGAATGGTTAATATTTTTTAAGGTATCAACAGATTATTTGATTCCAGGTGGGCAGAATAAATTTGGTAATAGAAAAATCTGCAATATTTTTCATTACTTGAATATACGGAAGTCAATATAAATTTATATTAACGCTTTGCACATCGTATTCAATGAATACACCGACACATCAATGATTTTTAGGGACTACAAAGTTATTTTCCATAATCTTCAAAACATACGGTTTCCCTTTCTTTTGTAAGATCGCATTCTTTCGCCCTTCTCCAAGATTCACGAGTATATATGCATCATAGATTTCGAAAATATTTTTTTTTATCAGCTGCTCCTTCAGTCTGATCAATAAACTTTTTCTGCTTTCTACTCCTCCCATCCTAGTTTCCAGGAAGTTTTCTCTCAGATTCCCTAAAACTTGTTGAGGTTCAGTGTGTATCTCATTTTATACGAAATCAGAATCTTTGAATCACTGTCTTTTTGAAAGGTAGAGGATGTACCAATATAGTTAGTTACTTTCTAGGAAAAAACAGTTTTGCCATTCTACATCCCAATCTTTATTGAAAAAAATGTTTCAACATAAACTTATCTGTGTTTGGAAGAAACATGCATTGCAGTTATGTTTCTGATAGTATTTTTACTCTCCTCTTTTTGCTTCAAGGGAATTGGAAGTACAGTCCTGTCACTTTTAGTTATTGAAAATGGTGGGAGCTGCCAGAAAAAATATTTCGAAACTAAAACACCGCAAAACATACAATACAACATAGTGTACAAGTTGAACTGTGAAAGCTGTCCCAAATGCTATGTTGATCAAACCGGACGATATTTTGAAACCCGAGTTTCAGTACACAGGAGAGACTCCACAACCCTTGTTATTAATCACTAGAAGGGATGTCGATGGCCGTAATATCGCATATTTCAATTGAACCAGAAAATACCTGAATAATTTTTCTTTTTTCATTCTCATTTTTTCAGTCAATGATTAAGACAGACACCATCGTATCAGTATCATACGAGTAGTTAAGACTAGGCGGAGCTCTATACATGAGAACAATACTCCAAAGAAGGCCTGATCTGCGCTTTAAAAAACATCAAAGTTGCTGAGGTGTGACACTTCAGTTTTCTGGTTCGAAACAGTGAGTGTTCCAAGCTTTTGAAAAGCAGCCTTTGCAATTCCAGCGACATGATTATGCCAAGACATATTGGTGTCCATTTCAACCCCCAACAAATTAACGAAGCAGAAAGTGTTTTCATTCACATTATGTATCTAACAGGTCTGATTATTTGAAAATAGTAATATTTTCAACACGAAGAAACTACTTTTCGGTGAGTAATTTATTTGAGAATATAACAGTTATGAGTTTTGTGAGAGGTTATTAGTGAAAATTCATTGTTTTGGATTCGAAACGTTGGCAAGAAAACAAAAGAGTTTTTAGGAAAAATTGATCCTGTCTCACAACTAACCCTCCTTAAGAAGAATTATTGGATCACTAAAACAGTTAACTGTTATTACTTTTTTTCTAAAAATTTGTCAAAAAAAAATTCCAAACAGAAATTGAATGTTAAAATAAGTTTTCAGAGTGAAAAAACAGAATTTTCAATTATTTTTTGTACTAATACTAGAGCTATATTATAGCCCTATATTCAGTTTGCCAAATAAATATAACAAATAATTCGTTTACTACAGGTATTTAACAAAACTCACCAATTTCACTTGCAAGTTTTTTGAAAGCAGTTAGTATAGGTCTATAACCTGTACAGCGGCATATATTTCCTCCGAATGAATTTTCAATTTCCTCCTTCGTTTTAGGTCCTGATTCAGTCAAAGCGAAAATATTCATGACCATACCAGATGAACAAAATCCGCACTGGCTTCCATTATTATCTGCCAGCAGTTTTTGTAAGGGGTGTAAACCTATCAATGGATTTCCGATTCCTTCATTCGTATGGATTTTCCAGCCATGGCAGGACAGGATGGAGACAAGACACTTGAAATAACAAGATATCGAAAAATGATAAAAATGAAAAATCTGCTTTTTTTAATAGATTAACATTGTTTTTTGCTCATTTAATGCAAATCCTTGATGTTCATTTTACTAATTTGATAAAAATTGTCATATAACTACTTCAAACATGGTGTTGAATTGGCTCAAAAAGTGCTTCAAATTCAGAACTGTCACAAAAATTTATTGTAACAATAATTATTATCACAGTGCAGTTAAATACGAGGTAGTTACTTTGCGCAAAAGATGTTTCTTCAAGCATAAAAACACTCTTTATTGTTAAATGAAGAGTAGGAAAAAGAAAAATTTTTACTGAAGCTGGCGATCAAAAATATGATATAAGAGGAGACAAAATAAGCTACCCAGAACCAAAAAACATCAAGAAAACAATGTGCAAACTATCTTTGACCTCGACTTCACAACATGGTACCTGAAACCATTAAAAAATAATTCTCCTAGTTCATATATAAATAAAATAAAACTTTGGATTATGCTAAATGAAAGGAAAATCTTTCATGATGCGGTGAATCAAAACTTTCAAAAAGCTCGAACTAAGAAAACAAGATAAAGATTATACATATTTTACATTCTCCCTATTGTGACACGAAATCATGATAATAAAAAACACGAAGCACAACTGAATATGGCAAATTACCATCTATGACAACTTAACCAATTATGAAACACACCCAATTATGACGGCATACCCAACTATGACAACACTTCCAACTAAAACAACACACCCAATTATGTCAACACCAAATATGGCTCACATTTGAACAATGTATATCATTTACGTCGTGACGAACACATAATAAAAAGCACACTACATATTGGATCTTGACTGTTAACTCAATCTTAGTCTCAAAACTGTCTCATGGAAAAGAAAAAGTGTGGCTTTTAACCCCGGGCCTGGGTTGGTTGTCACTGTATCTGGGGCAGGTAGTCACTAGGTAATTAAGCGGTATAAAAAACATTCAAATGAATATTTTCATTGGAAGTGGAATAATATACGTAATTAATCATATCCAAAAAGAGAAAAATAGTCTTATTTGTAGGAAAAAAGCATATTTGCTCCAAGTGAATAACTTCCTTCTGGTTAATACCAAAAATACCTATCAGGCCGCAGTGCTTGTAAACTAAAAATACCCTATGAATATTACTGGAGTTTTTTCCCAACACCAAATCATTATTTTTACACCTCGACACGTGTTTCGATCACCAAGTGATCATCTTCAAGAGGAAGATAAAACTAATAACTACTCAAAATTAAAGCTACTTATACTAATCAGGTACATCATACAGGTAGGTAATCAGTAATACCACCCATACAAGTGTACCACCCTAAATTAATTTTACAATTGGCCTTTCTATTATTTACAATATGTCCTTATGTATGTTTAAATGTAACATCTATATGTAGAACAATTTTCAGCTATATAAAATTAGTTTCACAATATTGCCCATCTAAATATATTTACAATGTGTCTTTTTGTAGTAATCAGTAAACCCAACAATATTATTTCAACAAGCTATATAGTATGCTATTTGGTATTGGTCCGTTGTCGTTTTTCATAATATTATTATGTTTACTTATTTCCACACTCTCATAAGCATCTAGTTGCCTGTTGTTATTAACTTGTCTAACTAATCTTAAAGAACTGAAGTCTATGGAATGGTTTTGTTGCAAAATATGATGGGCGACTGCTGATTTTTCAAATCTTCCATATTTTAAGTGTGTTGTGTTTCTTATATCTCACTTTAATAGATCTTTTTGTCTGTCCATAATATTTTGCATCGCAGTCGTTACATTCAATTTCGTAAATTCCAGACTTTTCCGAATTCTCGACTTTGTCTTTTGGACTTCCCAAAAGGTTCTGCAGTGTATGACTTGTTTTAAAAACCACCTTCATACCTAGTTCCTTGAAGATTTGCCTATACCTTTGATAACCAATTTTTTGTTGATGGTATTGATAACACCGTGTGATACTAACAATCAAAACGTCGTGAAGTAATTTGAATCTTTTAATTTTAATTTCTTGTTAATAATTTATAATTTTCATCTCGTGTTAATAGTTCATTTTTTTATTTTTGATTGTTGCTTGTATTTTATTTCATTGTAATTTCAGTTCATTGTAATTTCCACTTCATTGTTATCTACTCATTTTGTCAATAAGAATAATTATTCTTGGACAATAAAGTACAGTTTGATTGATTGATTGATTGTTTTTTGCTTGATATAATTGTTATTTTTCAGCTAATCTATTTGATATTTATTGATTCTTTCAAAAATTTCAAATCAATTTATATGATACTAGACAATGGAAGTACGAACCAATGAAATGCAAATGTAGAAAACTCTTCCAAATTTGAAAATAAATTGTTTGATAACCTCTCTACATATATAGATAGAACTATCTCAAAATTATCTCAATTGTAGAATCCAAGAGTTGAATTCAATAAAATTCGTCATTGAATCAATTTGTGTTCATTAACAACATTTGTCATGTTAACAATTCTTAAGGTGACATCATGTGTCATGACGTTGACAGTGTATTGATTTTTCAAGGCAATATCTGGAATAAAAACTTTACGTTCAGCTGAGCAGGATTTAAAGAAAATTGGACAATGGCTCGATAATATCGAATCAAGTCTGAACAAAAAACAAAATCTGAGCAAATCTGAGCAAAAAACAAAATCAATCACTTTTCTTTTCCAATCAATCGACCAATCAAAAAAACAAACAAACAATTGAAAACACTTTCCCAACACCAGAACAATAATTACGGTCTCTCGACGCGCAGTTTACTAACCAAGTTAGCGTCCTCAGATCATTATGTCTAAATTCTACTAATATGTTAGTGTCGTGGCCTTATTACTACCTGTTAGTAGTACCTAACCACACCGGTTAGTATTACCTATCTGTATCTGTAGAGTAGGGAGGGTGAGTGTAGGCCCACAGCACTTAGGCCACATGTGACCCATTGAACATCCTCCCGAGGAGTTGTCCTTCTAGGACATCGTCCATCCTGTCCTTTTCAGGAAGGTGGACAGGTCACTGGGACACATATCCTTTATATCTGCTGGTGTAGACCAAGACTCACCAAACACACTCTCTAATTGACGATTCCGGACACTCGCATAGAACATGCCTAACAATTTCATCTTCCTGTTCACACATCCTGCATAGAGGTGTGTCCACTAGCCCTATATTATGGAGGTGTTTCTTTAGTTGACAGTGGCTAGTCAGAAATCCTACTGTTGAGCGTAGATGTTTCCTGGTCATCGCCAGATATTTCTTCGGCACCAGCTTCCCAGGGTCGCTCAAGGTGATCCTGGCAAGATTGCATCCTTTGATTTCATCCCATCTCTTTATGGATTGAGCATGGGTGTAACGTTTGGCTAGTTCCGCAATTATCGAAGTCATCAGGCTGTAGGTGCCACTGGATCCTAAAATTCTTAGTCCAACCGCTTCCTTGGCTAAAGCGTCAGCAATGCGATTACCTTTACTTATATCGTGCCCTTTAACCCACCTCAGAATAATGCTATTATCTACCGGGGTTTTGGCTAAATCTTGGTGGTACTCTAGTACTAGCCCTGAGGTAGCACGTTGTCTGTTCAAGGCAAATAGGGCTTTTTGCTATCAGTGATGACTGTTATGTTTTTGCCAGAAATTCCTTTCCTGTTTATTTCTTTCGTGGCGATTGAGGTTACCTAACTACTACCTATTTTTATTATATCTAATTTCTTATGTATTTCCTCTATGATAGTGACTATTCCCTAAATTTTTTTATCTTATATTTATTCGTTTTTCATTTAGAATTATTGCGTATGATACTAAAAAAAAGGCTGTTCGAAATAGGACCTTTGTCGCTATTCAGAGAACTCATTCCGCACTTTTCCATTTTCAAGCTTTCGAAGGCATCGAGAAACCTGTTGTCATGTACCGGTCTCAGCAATTTCAAACATTTCTCACTTATTCTATGATCATTCTCTATGGCATGTTGAGCGACACTAGATTTATCCGGTCTATGAAAGCGAACATGCGAAACATGTTCCTTGTAGCGAGCTAAAATAATCCGTTTGGTTTGACCAACATATTTCTAATCATAAGCCTCGCAGCTTATTTCGTAAATCCCAGAGTTTTCTTTCGTCTTTCGTCTTGTCTTTCGGACTGTCCAACACTTGTTGAAGTGTACGTGCAGTTTTGAAAGCCAATTTTTTAAAAATTCTCGATAGATTTTCTTCAGTTTTGAATTTTTGAATGATTGAGAATGCATTCATTTTTTTGCAGTTGAGTCTTCATATGCTTTAATTTCTTTTTTTTTAAAAAAGTGTGTGTATACAACTAATAACAGTTTGTGATAAAAAAATATCTTTTTAATAACTGTTTATAATAATTTGTTTTGAAAACTACTGCAGTCATAATTATTACAAGGTACAAAGACTCACGTGATATAATTATCTGCATAAACATGCATATTTATAAAAATGATAAAAGTAAGTTTTATTCGTTAGCCAATTTCAAATTATCATCAAGCAATTAATCAGTATTCACGAAAATGTTGGTACTTGATTATTTAAAAATATTATGTAACATATATCAGTAATGACATAAACATTATATTTTCAGCCTAAACAAATTATGAATCTGAGATATACTCTTCACTCTATTAGCCAATTCATATTATTGTTTGAACTTTCAGCAGAGGAGATTCTTGATTTTTTCTGTCGATAATGCAACAAAAGGTACAAATATGTATGAAGCTATAAGATGGTATCAGATTATAGAGAATTGGTAAATGTTCTGATAGGGCCGAAGCTATAGTAGGATCAATTCAGGAATTTGATTCAATTAGATAGTAAAAAACTATATCAGTTGTACTGTTCACCAAGTCAAATGATTTGAAATTCCCATATGCAGGTGCTGCATATAGGGACTTGTGAAATCACACCATTATGCGTTGATTGAGTGCTAGACTGAAAACTGTTTATAATGTTTTATGTTCTCTACAAGGAAATCCCTTTTTTTGAAATTGATAGGTTACAGATCAGACTTTATATATTTGCATTCAGAGTATTCAAAAGAAGAAGTAGAATATTACGAATTTATATAGTTATGGTTTTCACTGGAAAAAAGTTTGACATAGTTTCTAGTTCGAAAGATAAATTTCAGTTTTTATACTTCCACGTACAATTCATGTCGAAATGTAAGCAGAACCTACCTTAAACTGGATTTATATGTGGATGGATACCTACATCATTCAACAACACGTGCAAATAAAAGAATTGTTTTATCAGGATGGGTGTTCTGTTCGGGCAACGTATCGCGCGCTTTGGCAATTTTACGGTCGCCATAATCGTCCTATCGAGAGGACTATTCGCAATGTGGTGGATAAATTTGAGTCCACTAGTTCACTAAACGATCGACCAACACCTATACTTTGACAAAATGCAAGATCTGTCGAAAACATTGCCTGTGTTTGTGAGAGTGTGCAGAAAAATCCAAGGCAGTCGATTTTGCGTCGCTCATAAGAGCTCGGCCTTTCGCAAACCACAATTTGGCGAATTTTGCGAAGTGCGTGGAAGTGACACGAGGTGCGTTAGCTGAATGAGCTCTGACTTTATCCCTCCAACTGTCAACTACGAACTGCCTTGTAAAGTACTGTTCCCGAGTAGATAGGAATGGATCCTCCGCGAGAAGGAAATAATAAGAGCAAAGAGTTGTTGGTTCACAGATGGATCAAAAACACCTTCCGGTTCCGGTGCAGGTGTTTTTAGTCGCAGACCCACGGCAGAGATATCATCCTGCCTAGGAACCTATACGATTGGATTTCAAGCGGAAATTTACGCTGTTGAATTGTGTGCGGAGAGATTGGAAGAATCCAACCTCACGCACAAGTCAAAAAAATATTGTTGGACAGTCAAGCGGCGTTGGAAGTTCTTGGCTCCTACCGAGCAACGTCTAAATTGGTAGCAAATTGCCAAAAACGATTCTCCTCAATAGAAAGACTTAATAGATTTCCTCTGGCCTTCCAGGCCAGAGAGTCCTCTATTGAGAAGGCCTCTCATTGGCATTGCTTTAGGCTTTGCCAAACAAAGATTAAACACCTGTATGCCAAGAAGATTTATGAACTTCTGGCAGCATTTTCCAAGATTGGCTCACTCCAAGGCGTTTATTCACCCTTCGAAGCTTGATACCAAATAGTTGTTGGACTACAGTAGGGATGAACTGCGATGTCTAACAGGCCTACTAATAGGTCACTGTCATTTGAATTATCATATGCAGCAACTCGGACCATCGGAAGATGGTGTATCGCCTCTGTTTGGAAAATGAGGATCACATACTTTGTGCCTGCCCCGCTGGGGACCGAATCAGGATTTTAGAGTTCGGCAGAGCCGTACTCTTACCATCTGACCTGAAAGACCACTAACTAATCGGTTTCGTTAAGAAGCAGGGTTTATTTGGTCCAGTGTGAATAGGTGTGAGCCATAATAAACCCATGCGGGTTGCGGTGGAGTGTCGAATAGACCCACTCACTTTGGACCTAACCTAACCTAGCTGAATGGACTCTGGAGCAGTTGACAACTGACCCTAATTTTCATCGAAAAATCATCTTTGTCGATGAGGTCCACTCCTGGATGAACGGATATGTGAACAATCAAAATTGTTGAATTGGGAACGGCACCAATCCATGCGAGATCCAAGAGTGCCCAATGTCACTCTTTGGTATGGATTTTGGGCTGGCGGCGTCATCGATCCATTTTTCTTTGAGAACAGCGTTGGTCAAGCCATCACTATCAACGGTCGATGATTACCAATTTCTATTCGCCTGAATTAGATGATTTGGACACCATGTAGTTTCAGCAGGACGGCGCTATGTGCCACACAGCTCATGACATATTTGATATTCTTCACGATTTGAGGGCATGGTCATCTCAGGTAGAGGATAGACTTGTGGGGTTTTCTTGAGTCGCAGGTATATGCGAATGAGCCACAAACCATAGCGGTCATCATAGCCAACATAACCTATGACATCGGTCAGATTCAGCCTGATTTAAGCGCTAGAATCATGAGAAGCCGTGGCGGAGATTTGAACGATGTTAATTTACACACATAATGGCATCAATAGGTCTTTCAAACGGACGATATCTCACACACATTTTGCTTTATGTGAATTTAAAGAAGTGCTTAATGAAAGACCAATTAAAAAAGAGTTTTAGACAATCAACTTAAAAAATTGGATGATGGACATTATACAAACTTTCAGCTTCAAATAATGCATCTTTGCAATCTAGAAAAAAAGTTATAATACCTAATCACTGATTTTTATTGTAATGTTGCAAATTATGAAAAAATGTTAATTCCCCAGATAATGAAAGACTTTCGAAGTAATTTGAATTCTTCAGTCTTCAACGTCTTGTCTACGAACTTCCACCATTGATACGAATAGATGTATCTCAATTTTGAAAAATATCAATTGGGATGTTTTGCTCAAATTCAATAACACAAATGATATGTTTGACTGTTTCTTGGAAACACTCTTACATGTAATGAACGAATGTTTCCAAAAAAAAACAAAATGTACAAAACAGCAATATACAAAAAAAATGGTTCAATGCAGCTTGAGAAACTACAGAAAGAACCTGAATTTTCTGATCGAATATAACAATAGTAACCAGAACGTTGATTTGACACCGGAAACCAAACTTGCAAAAAAAACTATAAACATAAGATTATCAACCAAAAGAAAAAGTACTAGTCCAGCAAGATAGAACAATCCGTAAAAAACCTAGGGTCATTTGGCAGATTATCAAGCAGCCCCTCTCTAGAGAATCCCCACAAGATACCCGGTTCTCAACTAATGAATTGAATGATTATTTTGTGAACATTAGTAGCAATATTTTAAAACAGCTAGAAAATACTCCGGTTGATCCAGCGAAACTTACTTCATCTTATATACAATTCCATAAAAGTATTTTCTTCATGCCTGTAGACTCCACAGAAGTTCGTCATATTATTGGGAATCTCTCGGATAGTACTGCTCTTGATGTGTATGGATTGAGTAACAAGATGTTGAAAAACATGAAAGAGGGATTAGTAGAACTTCTCACCATAATAATGAACAAATGCTTTGAGACAGGTGTATATCCCGAGAAGCTTAAATTCAGTAAAGTGACCCCTATATTCAAAAAAGGAGACAAAAATGAGATGGAAAACTACCGTCCCATCTCAATAACCCCAACTTTATGAAAACCCATTGAGGATAATATAATTTATGGATTCGAACGACTTGCTCTCCAAGTCCCAGTTTGGATTCAGACAAAATCTATTTACATCGCATGCCATATCTGATCTGGTGCGAGCCACGGTGGATGCCTTCGAGAGGGAGGAAGCACTCACTCACAGCCATATTCTGTTACCTCTCGAAGGCATTCGACTGTGTGTCACACTCGACTCTACTGGATAAACTTCCGTACAATGGAATCAGGGGAAAAATAGCTGATTTGATCGATTCTTACCTATCCGAACGAAAACAGGTTGTGGAACAAAGTAGTGTGAGATCTCCAGCAGTAAGTGTTACAGCAGGTGTGCCTCAAGGGTTAATCACGGGACCCCTACTATTCCTAATATACGTTAATGATCTTCCACACCATATGAACCCCCTCAACACGATTCAGTATGCCAATGATACTACTATTTATGAGAGTTACCCTGAACATGAACATCCAAAGCAAGTAACTGACAACGCGTTGAAAATATCGAAAATTTTTTGCAGCCAATAAGTTATGTTTGAATATCAAGAAAACTGAAACAATTACGTTCACACTAAAAGGACTGAAGGACAGTCAAAAATCCATTAAGTTTTTGGGGGTAACGCTTTATCAAAAACTTATTTGGAAAGAACACATCAAAGATCTCTCTACTAAGGTGTTCAGCAATCTTTATCTGCTTCGTAGAATCATTGAATTTGTTTCCTCTTATGTTTCGAGAGCAGCTTATATGGGGTTATTTCAGTCTAAGCTGTCATACGGATTGCTTTGTTGGGGACTTTCAACTGATTGGGAAAGGATATTCATTTTACAAAAAAACGGCTATTAGAATCCTGGGAAGGGCAAAAAGAACTGACAGCTGCAGACCTCTATTTAAAAAATTTAATATATTAACCGTTACGACTCTAGGTATACAATGTCTTGTCTATATCAAGACACAAAATAACACCCTTCAAGTTAATCGCAACTATGAATATTTGACCAGAAATGACCACAATCTTCTTATGCCACAAGATCGACTGGCAATTACTCATAAAAGCTTTTTTACTATGGCGATAAGGCTCTTCAACCATCTACCACCATATATGAGGAAATTACATATGATTAAATTCAAAAAAAGTTTAAATGGGCTCCTGGTTGATCTCTGCCCTTATGAAATTAGTGAATTTTTTCACTGCAAGTTTGAATGCTTCGCCTTTTAATGTGTATGTTTTGTACTATATTTATCTACCTTGACGATGCTAAATCTGTTGTATTGATAATAAGCAAATAAATTGATTGATTGATTGATATATGAAACCACTTCATTACTCACTGAATTGATGACGAATATATTTTTTTCTTTACTTCCGACTTCTTCAACTGCAACTAGACACGACCCGCAACCTCCTTCCAAACACATCCTTTTCGTTCCCGTGAGAAAAACTTTTTTCCTAAGATAAGCGTTGAGAGTCATTTCTGGATCAACATCTTCGGCGGTTACTAAAAAATTGATAATTCAGATTATTCTTTTCAAACGATTTAGTCATGGAGCAGTCAGAAATGGAGGAATTTTTTTTTACGAAAAGAAAACAGATTTCATTGGCTTTGACCTGCCTATATAAGAGTGGTTCTGTTACAATTGAGACAGACAGAGCATCCCAAATAATGACGTTCATAGACAAATTTTGATATGCATTATTATATTTTTTTAGGACTCTATAATTGTTGATGTATTGATCTGTTGAAAATCTATAACATTGGTATTGTAACGTTCAAAATTTTGACATGAGTAATATTATTAACATAAAATAATTCCAATTATGAATCATTGACCCATTACTTACGAAAATAATTAACACTAGTCGTGATAATAATTATACGATCTCGAGAAAAATAAATAATTTGATGATAATTATTGGCATTTTATGCCAAAACTCATTCAAATGAAACAAGTAGATTTTGAGAAAACGATTACAATACAGTATTACTCTAGGAGAACAGATAATTCATAACTATGTTAATTATTGAAATTTCAAGAAAATGAGTTTGAGAATGATGAGTGAATAATTTATCGTTTAGAAAGAAATTTGAATGTTACTGTTTATACAGTGTGGTCCACTAAGTCTGCAACAAATGGGAAACATTTTTATTATCGGTTTCTCAGAAAATTTTATTTTTGACAAAAGTTGGTGCATGTTCCAAAACTATACCAAGTGTATCTGAAATGGCTTTATGACAAACACCATACAGGATAGGCCGAAAAATATAAAGTCTGTTCAAGAGTAAAGTAGGTACCCTTATTTCAAAAAATATGGAAAATTCTTTCATTCTGACAACAATGCCTCAACTAGAACATATATTAAAGAACAATCCAGAATCTATCGCGGATAGCCTTGAACAAAAAACACGTACGCCCTAAAACAATACTGTAGTTTGTGATAGTGGGACTTCTTAAAACTTGCCTGTGAAACGTTTTCATATTTGCCCTTAATTGAAAATACCTCGCCCGTATTATTAACGTTAACTGAAAAGGCAAAATTAGTTTTAATCTGTGGTGATGGTTATAAAACAATGCGCGAAACTGCAAATATTTTCAATGAGCGGCATCCAGACAAACAAATTTGCTATTCAAGTGTAAGTAGAATTTTAAAGAATTTCAAACAGACCGGCTGACTAGAATATAAACATAATACGAAACCTGTATGCACCGAAGAAAACCAGCTTGACGTACTTCAAGCAGTAGTAGAAAATCCTAGAAGGTCCACCCAAGAAATTAGTGATTATACCGGCATAAAAAAACCTCTGTGAAGCGTATTCTCAAGAAGAACAACGACAGTTTCATCGATGTATTCTGTTTGGAGATGAATCTACTTTTACCACAAATGGGGTTCTATTATCACAAAATTGCAGATGGTGGTCAGATGTCAATCCAAATTTTATTATTGACAACAAAAATCAATACTATCAGAAAACAAATGTTTGGTGTGGTATATTAAATGATAGATTACTAGGTCCGTTTTTTTTCGCGAGAATTTGAATGGTGACAGGTACCTGAACTTTTTGGAAACTGAAATAGGAGAGTTTTTAGATGATATGGTATTAGAAGAACGGCAAAAGTTATGGTTCCAACATGACGGATGTCCTGCCCATTCTACTGGAAATGTTTCACAGTGGCTGAATAGGACATTTCGTAAAAAGTGGTTAGGACGAAATACCGATCCTCGATGGCCTTCTCGTTCTCCAGACCTTACACCTCTCGATTATTTCTTATGGAGATACTCAAAACAAAAAGTCCACAGAGATCGCCCCTTTAATAATGTTGATGAGCTTGAAACTTCAATACAAGTTCATTGCAGAAATATTCCCGCTAATGTGTTGCGATCTACATCAAACGAATTTTATGAGCGAACAATTAAATGCATCGAAAGAGAAGGTGGACATACAGAGACGCTTCGATAATTTTTATTGTTAGCACCTGTTAAGTTGTTAAGTTACCTACTGTATTTTTCTGTACTATCGTTTATTGGTTCTTTTTTGTTCATGGCTATCCGCGATAGATTTTGACAGTTTATTCATATGAACATTATACTTAGTAAAGTATTCGCCTCGTTGAAAAGAGTATTTGTTTTATTCTAGAATTCTGTTAAATATCGTTGCAACAAACATGAAGTTGACGGTCACCTAAAAAAATACAAATCCTAGTAAATTTTTCAAATACACTTTAATTTGATAAAAAATACTCCAAACTGATTCGATTGTGGCTACTTCAAATACATATTAATGTATTAATAAGGTGTTTTGTATGTTCAGTAATATATATGAAGTTGACAGTTTTTCTTAGAAAATTATTAAACGTTAACGTATTCGCATAATACTGTATAAAGTTTCATGAACAAATTTAAATTTGTCAGTGGTCTTCATCCTAATTGACTCATGCAAATAAAAATATCGATTACAGTTTCATGCGTCCACAGATAAATAAAATACAAAACTAGCCTACCTTTCGTAAAAAATCTGAATCTAACGATATTTCACTGCAGCTCAAAACTATTTTTGAATAGACCTCATTGAGTTTGAGGACTGGATTAGATTTTGAAAATTCGAAATAAATTGCTCAAAATTAAATTATACAGAAAAGTATATCCCTTTGAATTCTAATAATTCACGGAATATATCTTACTATCAGAAAGTATCGGTATCAAATGAATAATTCAAGTTTGATTGGCAAAAGTAACATCAATATTGAATTCATGATGTAATACTCCAGAATACTTATTCTTATCGAAATATGTATAAATATGCAAATGATGCACTATGTTACGATAAATGAATATTGTGTCATTATTTTATATCAATGAAAAATAAATAAAATTATATTCATGATAATAATCAAAGAATTTTCACAAAAAATTTTTATAAGTTTTAGACGGGTTTGGCGTACACCTTAGCTTTATCGGTAGTAGTGAGTAGTACACACTAGACTACAATTCTTATACAGGGCGTTCCAACAAAAACATAACCCTGTAAGTCAGAACGGACGTGTAATCGAAAATTTCAAAGAACACGTCAATTTTTACTTCTATGGGGACTAATTCTGATATGAAAATCATACCCGAAACTTCACCCCCCTGCGGTCAGCAACTACTCCCCCAATTTTTTTTCAAAGGCATGGGGGGTCGAGTGATACATCAATTGAAAGGTCTTTTGTCCTTCTATTACCGTTATAATTTTTTTCGAAATTGGTTCATACGTTATTGAGAAATTGAATGTTGAACATTTTATTTAACAACAGAAAATTCGCTGTCGCTCATTTCATTGAGGAACTCAACAAGAGTAATATCAATGGCAACACAATCAACGGATAGAGTGTTCATAATGACCTCCATCTAATTCCATACAATAATACAGTCTACTTTCGAAAGCGTTCCTTACATTATTAAAGTTGTCCGGGGTCTGAAATCGGCATTCCTGATGGACGACACTGTTAGTTTTTTCTGCACTGGTAGTATTTGTTGAAAGAAAGCAAGAGAAAGAATGGAAATTGTTGCAACCTATTATCGAAATAATGAATGTACTAAAGCTGCTGCAAGAATTTATAATACGAATCATCCAGACCACAACAGAAAACATGCAGTAGCCCGTCCTGTCAGAAATGACGGAGTTGAAGTTTTAGGACATGTACAAATAGATAATCGACAATCTAACAGACAAGTAGCTAGAGCGTCTGGTGTATCAGCTACCAGTGTTTTTTCGGATTTTGAGAGCCTAAAAATTCCATTCTTTCGAAATAAGGCTAGTTCAGGAACTAGCCTTATTTCGAAAGAATGGAACGAAGATGATCCTGATCGTCGACTTGGTGGTGAAGTGAAGTGAATAGACATAACTGTCGTTACTGGAGCGATGTGAATCCTCATTTGGTGATGAAAACACATTCACAAACTCCACAAAAATTGAATATCTGGGCCGGCATTCTTGGTAATTATATTGTTGGATCATTCTTCATTGAAGGTAATCTCAATGGAGACACATACTTGATTCTACTACAAGACCGTGTAGATCATTTGATTACACAAATTTTTAAAAATGATGACAATTTAGTAGAAAATGCAATAACATTCCAGCAGGATGATGCACCCCACGTTTTGATGTTCGGGTGAGACAGTTTTTGGACGTCTTCCAATGCGTTGGATCGGCAGAAGGGGTCCCGTACAGTGACCAGCTAGATCACCTGGTGATCACCGATGGACTTCTTTCTATAGGAACAGCTGAAGGCGAAAGTGTACTCTACTAAGCCTAGAAATCTAGAAAACCTGCGACAGAGAATTGTTCGGAAATGCCGATTGCTGTTTCCGGACATCTTGAATAATGTACGGAACGATTTTGAGAGTGGACTGTATTTTGTATAGAACTAGGTGGAGGTCATCTTGAACAATTTTCTGTTTTTTCTTAGATAAAACGTTCAAGATTCAATAAAGGGACAAAAGAACTTTCAAATGATGTATCACTGGACCCCTCATGCCTTTGAAAAAATAGGGGGTAGTTACTGACCGCAGGGGGGTGAAGTTTCGGGTATGATTTCTGTATCAGAATTAGTCTCCCTAGAAATAAAAATTAACGTATTCTTTGAAATTTCCGTTTACACGCCCGTTTCTGACTTACGGGGGGGTCAAGTTTTCATTGGAACGCCCTGTATACCTACAACAGATAGAATTTGAAAAACAATTTACAATCTGTTTTTGAACCGTAGGTAAATTTTGAATATGAACACAATTATTGGCATTATGAAACAATGCTGTTTGTCGTTCAATAAGGAGTTTGAATGTTTGCCCTCATTTATTTCCAGAGACTCCCAGCAGATTAATTTTCTCTCCTTTATTTTCTACAAGTGGTATGTCATAGATAGTGTTAAAATCTTGGTTGTTCTTCAAAAGGTGGCATGCATAGGTGGAATTGGTCTTCTTCAGTTATAAATTTCTTTTATGTTCGGAGATTCCCGTTTTGAAAGTTCTTGAAGTCCTTCCTACATAAACTTTTGGGAATAACCCGCATATTACTTTGTAGACACCTGATCTGTTATCCTTGTCTACGTGTGACTTATTGTTCTTTATATATCTACCCAAGGAGTTATCAGTCTTATATCCCAGATAACACTGGGTATCCATAAGATATCCAAAAACTGGATATTCTCCCGAGGACATATTTTGGACATCCATAAGATATTCAAAACAGATAACCATAAGATATCCAAAATTGAATATCCATAAGATATCCAAAAACTGGATATTCTTTCGAGGACATATTTTTGACATCCATAAGATATCCAAAACAGATAACCATAAGATATCCAAAATTGAATATCCATAAGATATCCAAAAACTGGATATTCT